ACTATTCTGTGCCCCAATTCCGACCATTTAATGTCTCCCCGGTCCCGGCCGAACCCCCCTCTCCGAACCGAATCCCCGAACTCTACTCGGCTCTCCCTCGTCGCAACGCGACGACCCATACGTGTCGAGTATGCGGGCCAAGCATGTGAGGTGCCGCGACTTGCCGGGGTTTGCAGTGATGACTTGTGGCCTTGGTCGTCGTCCAGCCGAGGTCCCATGGCGCGCTGACGTGGGGCGCGGCAACCGGAGGCCACGTGGCCACGAAGGCCGCAGTTATAGCAGGTGATGACAGTAGTCGGAGATCTCGGTTGCTCCAGCTTGCGGGCCGCTCGCAGAGGCGAACGACCCCCCGACCTCCAGTCCCCCGCTCGTCCCGCGATGAACGCGTCCTCTCGTGGGCTGACGACTTGGGGCACGGTGTCAACCGGACCCGGAGTTGAGGCCACGGCAGCGTTGCAGACGACCCCCTGCTTTCGTTGAAGGACCTCGTGCGCTTGCATGCTCGTGGCGACCCGTAATGAAGAAATATCGGTCTCGTCGGCCGTGTTGATGGGGACCCCCAGGTCCTGCGCCAACTTGAGCAGCTGCTCCAAAACCATCGCATCTTGGCCCTCCTCGTCCATACGAGGGAACGCGGCGTCAGCGAGAGCGAGCAACGCCGTGCGGTAGGCGAGCACGGTCTCCGTGTCCGCCTTCCGTCTTGCGTAGAAATGATGGCGGCACGCCGAGGGAGGACCGTAGACTTTGGCCATGAGAGCCAGCGCATCCTTGAGCGTGGAGCGGTCCGACCTGCGTGCGGACGTGAAGGCCGCGAGCGCGTTGTCGTCCAGCATGGCAGGCAGTGCCCGCAGTGCCGTAGCGTCGGACCAGGCGGACATCTCTTGATGCGCCAAAAATCTGCGCTGAAATTGGCTCCAATCCCCGCCTTCCGCCTTGAATGCTGACAACGTGGGAAGGCGCTGCTGAAAGATAAAGTCGTCCTCCTCCTCGTGCTTCCTCTCTGCCCCCCCGTCGGTGTGTAAGATGGCGGCCCCATCGGCGGGTGTGTGATGGCGGTCCGCCGCGCGCGTTGGTGACGTCAGCGGGCGCGCATGGAGAACCGCTGCCACGTGGTGATGGCCGTTCCCGCCAAAAGTCGGAGCGGATGAAATGGCGGGAATCGCCAAATCGTTTTGGCGGGAATCTGCAGGGCGACCCTGTAGCACGTCGGCCGCCGTCCCCGCTCCTCCCGACGAGCTGATCTCCGCCAAGATGGACGCGGCGGCGAGCAGCAGCTCCGCCAGACGGGAGTGTGCCTCGCGAAGCACGGTGTCAGTCCCCCGTCGCTCGTCCGGCGCCGTCGGTGGATCCTGCCCCGTGGGCAGCTCCTCTTCCTCACCCCCTGATGCCCGCTGGCCCGCGTCGTCGAGGTTGTCCCCGTGGTCAATCCCGTGGGTCCGACGGCTCCTCCTTGTATCCATGCTTGGAGGACCGTTTCACTTCTGACGCCAGTTGAAGTATGGGAATTGACGGCAGGAACTTCTTGACGGGTAACACACTTTTATTAAATCTTTACGTGTCACAATACAACGTGTGGTCTTCCTTCTTCCGACGACACACTCCACTAATCTCGTGTAAACTCTAGGCCTCTGGCTACACCCGATACACTTGACTCGTGTAGACCCTATGCCTCTGGCTACACACACTACACTCGACTCGTGTAAGCCCTATGCCTCTGGCTACACAATACACTCGACTCGTGTAGACCTATGGCTACACACACTACACTCGCCTCTGGGCTACACAGAGTCCCGGTCCCCTTAGGACAGCGGGCTAGGTACCGCAGGGCTCTAGGTCTTCATCCCCGTCTTCATTCTTCGCTGGTTACACACTGCCCTTACGCCTGTGTGCATCCCCTTTTATAGCCCCTGCTCACGAGAGACGGAGCTGATGCGGCGTCGACGTGAGCGTCGTTCCTTAATGAACCAATCACGACGCACTCTCTCTACGATCCGCTTTCCCCAGCGCGTGTTAACATTACTCCACCAATCACACTGCGCTGCCACCTGATCACTCCCTCTCAGCGCGTCACCGGCCCACAGCCAATCGGTACCCCGTAACCCACGACCCCGCGCTGACCCCTGATCCTCCACCGTCAGCGCGCGTCACCACCTACACAGCCAATCATCACGCACTGTGCATACGATCCCTAATCCCAGCGCGTATCACCTCTACACATCTTTAGATAAGTCCACACCCCTCTGGTAGGAACCAGTGCTACTCTCCACAGAACAACCAATGTCGCTAGATCCTCACAAAGTATACCTATTTTAATGAAACCCTGAGGGATAATGGGCAAAAGCAAGTCATACCCGAAAGAAAAAATTAGGATATTTTGATTGTGGAAACAGTAGTTACGAAACACATCCACCTGGCCAGACATTACTTGAAAGCTGTATCGATTAAGCCATCGTTTCGCTGCAATCTGCAGCTGTAATGATGAAGCACTCCGGCCACAACTCTGTTCCAGTCACACGAGTGAAGTCGATTCAGTCGAGGCATCCCTGACGTAACGCGCTCCCACTTAGCGCGAATTTGCAGCAAATCGATTAATCTTTTCGGGACACACGTCACACGTACGCTATGCGTTTCACAGTTACGCGCCCAAGAAAAGAAACAATAGAAACTGTGAAAGTAAAATCTTTCAAAATAAATACAAATATTTTAAATTATTAAAAAATATATCAAGGGAGAAATATATTTCGCAGATTTACCGACACAACATCTCAATCTGATGGCGTCACCCTGTCTTGGCAGCGCTCAGTGTCATGGATGGGCTGGGCGTAGCCAACTTATTAAGCAATCTATGTAAGTGGTAATGTTTTTAATCTTATTTATTATTCGTTATTAAACTCCTAAGTATTTTTTTTCAATGTTAATCATATTATTACGTATTAAATGTATACTGTGCGTACTTTGTAAATTCAGGGATAATAATGAAATGATAATAAATTTGTCTTCAGTAACGCACCCCCTGGATAACATCTATGTCAATGGGAGCATTGAGCCTTCATCCAGAGCGATTCGACTTACGCGCGTTCTTTTCAGGAACGAGTATCGAACGCTACGTGATGGATTGCCCTCATACATTAGATCAACCTACTCCAGGTGGGCAGATGGCATTGTGGTTAGAGAACTTGACTCACAATCGGAAGGTTGTACGTTACAATACAATTTGTGTTTCTCATATCTGGGGTTGATAAGATGAGTACCGCATACTGGGAGGTCGACGAGTGGTCATCTTGTCCACAGTGGTTATCGTTTTGGGAAACCCCTACGTAGGAATGTGAAATTTGCATGACTGACTCAGAGAAGCCAGCGGTGATAAGCACTACACACAGTGAGAAACTTTGGTTTGACTTGTGGGTAGTCAATACTGTCTATACAGTACATATTGTCTCTCCGTATTTGTAAATTAGTGCTTGGGAAATGTTGTTCTTGGTTATTGGCTTTTTAACAAATGTCTCTCAGAAGTGTTTGACTACGAAAACGGAATATCTGCCAAAGCGATGCAAATGAGGCCATGAAGCAGCCCGTTTCACACGGAGTCACGTGACGCCACAAAGCACAAAGTCCATTCGGAACTCTCTAAGAGCAGTTCAACGTCATACAATGGCCCACGTAATGAGATATCAGAAAACTACTTCTGAGATCACTCCCTTCAAGTGACATGTTATATCCGCACACTTAAAGGGATAATTTTCTATTACGAAGAAATGTCCATCATATAATGGTCAACCCACATATTAAACAATTCATAGCTGGAATGTAAGCAGATTACGAATAATAATACAATTATATAATGCCAGTTTTACATTCATTGTTGACTAGCCTGAGACCACGAACTCTCTCCACTGGAGCACCCGTTTTAAAATCACAGGCGACCGCCTAGATTTGAACTCAGGCCTCAACGGTTCTGGCTCAGTGATCATTCGAAAGCTACTTGGGTAGCCTCATCACATCTCATGGATGGTGTTCTAAAGAAGTCAGAACCAGAAATGGGATGGGTCAAGAAGCCATCAGAAAGGATTTCCTAACAACAGCTTGATGGCAAATTGAAGAAAATAATCAAGAGCAAGGTCTGGAGTGTGGCGAGGTGCGCCTGTGAGCGGTGGACAATGCAGACACGAGGCACGGATTGGAAGGTTTTGAAAATGTGGATTTTGACCGAGAATTATATAAATGAACCAGACAGGAATAAACACAAAGAGGTCCTGCTTCAGCTGAGAGAAAGACTTGAACTCGTAAAGTCTAAAAGTAAAAGGAAGAACATCTGGATTGGGCAGGCGGTAGTGGGGGGGGGGGATGAGCTGAAGGAGGTGATTGTGGGAAGATTATTTGGGAGAAGACCAAGAGGAAGCAAAAGAACGGCGACCCCAGGTGATGTTCAACGGAGAGAGGGCGAGAGCAGCGGAGACAGAGCGACACGGAGGAGAGGTGATGCGCGTCCGCTTATATTCCCTATTACAAATAGGAAATTACAGCTTGCATTAAAAAATGTCAATACAATTGCCCGAAGTCCATACAGTCCGCACGGCCAAACGCCATCCACGCGGTCGAAATTTTACATTGGTGGTTATCAATAAAAATCGAAGTTGCGAGAAAGTGCGCGTGCCAGGTGAGCGGTGACAACAGACGAACCCAAGACTGGGTGGCGTGCGGTGCTTGGGGCCAAGTTGCCGAGAGGGCAAACGAGCAGCGATCGCGCACTCCTTTACTTGCTTACAAACTGCACGGACATTGCAACCGTTTAACGTGCTCACGCTCAGCTCGATTTGTTTTGCAACGTATGTTTAAAATTAGCATTTTCACCAAATATAATCGCCGGTAATTGTCTGAAAGACTGTCGTGCTTTAAAGACGCCGCACTGAACACATCATTCGTTAAACACAACTGCTGCGTATATACATTCGAGAGCTTTTACAGGACCGTACGAGAAAAAATGAAGAAAATGTTTTTACCTTTTGGTTTCCCACAAGGACCATGTAATTAAGCATGACATTAACAATGTAAAACATCTTTGAACCATCTTGCAGTTCTGCGGTTGGGCCCCTTGAGAGTGCGGTTCTGAAGTGTCGATAAAACCTCCGGACTATTTATGGGCGGACAAGTTCACCTCTGTGCTGTTTGCTAAATGAGGCTTAGCCCCCCCTCCCCCTTATCACAGGAACCATACAAAGTAAACAGCCTTGGCAGTCAGTGCTTTATAACACAATACATGACTCACTCCTTAAAACACAATGCTATGTAAAAATAAATAAGACCTTCAGCACTTTTTAAACTTAAAATAATTTCCAAAGTTCAATGTACACGTCAAAGATAAAAAAAATCCCTATTGTTTTAAATATATCCGAATCAACAAGCGTACACACAGCGTCATCAATCAGTCACGGTTGTAAATGCGAATAAACTACAAGTTGTTTAAAAATGCATGAATCGGGAATTACAAATATTGGCACGCCAGATATAATGCACACTCTTTTCCACATGACATAAAAATTTCCATTTCAGTGTAACCACTCACGTTGAACCTGGTTCATTTGTTTTATGGCCATATTGCTGTATTAAAAAATAGCGTGACTACCCTTTCTATCCGTGATGCGCAGAGACTGAATTCTGTGCCGGTATAGTTTCATGCCGATACAAGCGACCAGCAACAGAGGCCGATAATGCCAATTGCAGCCCCAGAATATTCTCAATCGAACGCGAATAAATTGTGTGCACGTCCAGTCAAATTCATAACGAACTGCTTGAGCTCAAGGGTGCAAGGTTCCTCGCGCGAGCGCGCTAATCTTCGTGCCACCACTCCTCCACCCATCGTTAGTGACGGTCAACTGAGTCAACCCCCCGATGGTGGAGCTTGGAAAGCCGAACAGAGTTCACAAGAAGAAGAAGACGTCACAAACAACGAGCACCTCTTATAGAGAGACCAGACTACGCAGAAAGATCCCTGTCTGGGATCTTCCTGCGATGCTTCTGGGCCACAACCCCTGGACCGCATCCGCTGCGCCACAACCCATGGCACCAGCAACAGATGCGATCACTTTGATGATGCATTGCTTGGGAAATAAACAACTCTCCGATTAATGTGTGGACACTGGGGTCGCCACCCAGAGCAAAACCACGGCACATCTCACGATTCGGTGATCGATTCGCAAATACGAAGCAGGCATCATCACAGCCATACCAGATGCGCTTTTGTGTCCGTCTGGAACGCTCTTCCTTGCGATATTAGGAAGCCACTGAAACTATACGCACTTTTAAATCTAGATTGAAAACTTTTTTTTAGAACTGATTTTTGTATTTAGTTTGTTGCCCTACGCCCGCACCTCTGATTAGCATTGTACGGTGCGAAAGAAGTTCAACATACACGCATACATACCACTCCACTACTCCCAACGCAATTATATGGCTCAACCACCTCAACGTTAAATTATATATGTTGCTTTGCATCAAGATCGCCATATGAAGAATACGAAGACGGTAACAGCGACATGCCCTACACTCAATGCAGAAATAAGCAGCATGAGAATTGGACATAGAAGCTTATTCTCTGGATAAACTGCAATGTGCGCGAGTTGTCTTGGGCATCACTGTGGCTATGAGATGTTAACTACCTCGCCTGGTGTGCAGGAGGTCGTGAGTTTGATCCGGACGCTGACGCCTGCTGCTGTATATTTGGAGTTTGCATGTTGTCCCCGTGGTTGCGTGGATTTTTATCCGGTTTTTCCTTCCACAGTTAGAATCGATACTCTTTGGGTCTTTCGGTAAAGTCACGTAGATCGAAAAATTATTTTTAAAATCACGACGTTTCGACCGCAACACAAGCAATCGTCCTCAGATGAAAAAATATATAGAATCAACATCACGCGTTTATACTATTTGGCTGCTCTACATATTCACGTGATGATAATCCACTTCGTTGAGCTGTCATTTGTGGCCAGGTCGCTTCTGAAAAAGAGCTGTATAGGCTCAGTGGGCCTTAGCTGGTCACATTACAAATAAAGTTAAAAGTTTAGTCGACGAGTTTTCTCGACGGTCCATGGTTTGTGCTGCACGGCCACAATGGCACTGCCGTGGCTCGGCCGCCCCCTCGTGGCGCAGTCACGCCAGGGCACACGCGTGATTGTGCCACCGCGGTGATTGCAACACTTGCACTCACCGCCACCACAACAACAACAACAAGCGCCATTCGCCACTAAGTGGCGGTGACGTCACCACGACGCTTGTGCCAGGCCATGTGCACGTTGAGGCCACGTGAAGTGTCGAACGCCCGCTGGCAGGAGGTCACGGGGCAGACCCAGGTGCTGACTGAGATGACTTGCTGATGCACCACCTGTGCCCCCTACTGGCACAGCAACCACACGAGCGTCTCACGCCCCTCTCTGTGCGTTATGCAAGAAGCATCGGCAGTCGTTCATGAAAAACTGAGTTCCTGGGGGGGGCACGGGGGGGTAAGCCCCCCCAAACTGGACACCTTTATTCATTTATTTTCAGTAGTGTACAATTAAGATCATACATAAATAAATTATGTGCACCCCCCCGATTCCTAATGTGAGGGACAAAGCGAACCCCTGCCCCCCCCCCCCCCCCACTCAAGTCAAACTCGGTATATGACTGAGCCGTAGTCCTCTTGTTCTAGGTCAGCATTAAAATAATATTGAGGGAAAATGTCATCGACGGACAAGGCAACGGTGATAACAGAGATAGACGAAAGTGGACTGGTTTCATCCTTATTCGGACTCATCAGCACAGTGCCCAAATATGCGATTCTGCTATCTTCTCAAAATGTTTTAATCTGTGGGTCGATCCTTATTGTCCACAGATTAAATAGCAGGCACCCGAAAGTTCGTCCTTGAGGGTTGTGGAATCCCATTGTTGGGCCACGAAGAAACCCCTTGGCCACCATCACGAAGTGGCACAGGATATCACGAACTCGCGACGGAATGAATGATAAATTATGTTAATGCGGCGGGAAGCCAATCGGCGTCAAAGGGCGGTCCAATGTGGGCTCTTACGTACACAATAACGGGCACCCCAGACAGAGACCGAGAATTGTGCAATTTCCTCCACCAACTCTTTGCGTCCACTGCTTAAGATGTTGCACTACTTCAGCATATTGGCACAGGACAGAAGAGAGTGGAAACACATGACGAATGTGCAGTGGACATCTCCGGGGGGCTATCTGCCCATGCATGAATCCCGATGGTGACTCGTGGCGGCCAGTAGAGGGCAGTGTCGTGCCATGCCCAAAGCCACGCCGTTCTCCCGACTCCACAACGACATTTGCGGATGATGGCCGGGTGGGGTCAGAGGTCAGACTCTCAGAGCACTGCCGAACTGGCAACGCTTTAAAATCCTGCATTCAAAATCCAGACACCATAAATTAAATCGATCTCAAGTGCACCTCGGGAGTATGTCTTGGCCTGACCACCCAATGCCTGCACGAGTAATCATCACATACGGAAACAGTGTTTTGCACTCAATTTAACTAAATTTCAGATCTCGAGTTAAATGTACGGGGTATTACAGCAGTTTTAGAAAGTGCAAACTTTACTGTGTAACCGATTGTGTTCTGTTATTGCATAGGGCAGCAATACATTCGGGGGATAAATGTACATGTTAGCCATGAGAGGGTTGCAGGAGAGTGTAGTTTTGCTCTCACTCCGTTAAAGGAGAGCAGTCTCAAGCGGTTTACTATACGGTCAATAGTTTGGGTGGCATGGCCACAATTGCACTGCTGTGGGTTGTCTTTGATCTTCCATTCATGACGATGTTGCGCATCGACCGGTTGCTAGTTCCATCAACGTCAAAGCCACCAGGTTGCGATGTTTGGGTCTCGAATGAAACGTTCATTCCGGACTTTCGCATTGCTCCACTCTGTTCGCCAGCGTTCTACCGGTTCTGGGTGGGCTCACAGAAGGGGACCCGGGACTTTAGAGTCGGAGGTCTTCGTCAACGGGTGACGGATACAAAGGACATTTAAATTTTTCTGGTTAAGTCCCGTTAAGAAAATACTCCCCTCAACAGCTGTTCTCCAACACACGTGGCAACACTGCTCTGAGAGCTTTGCAAATGGACTTTCAAGAGCACAAGTGGGTAAGATTTTTGTTAAACGTCCCTCTAAAGTCGATCACAATCTACGATTTAGAAATTATACAGCACAAACCTGAAGACAGGTGAGAATGTCTGCAACACACAAGAGATCAATGTGCTCATATCAATCTTTATTTAAAGTAAATGCAAAGGTACCACGAAGTGCACGGTCATAGGCAGGTGTCGTCAGATGCGACGCTGCCAGGATGGAGCCGCAACCCTCCCGCGTGTGCAGTCGCCTACTCCTCGCGCGAGAGCGGACGGGAATGAGCCAAACACGTTTTTTAAAAATGTGTGCCGCGCAACTAGACACAAAAGTAACAGCACGTCTCTTGGTATGCAACCGCAAATTGTTCGACCTCGTGTACGCAAATGGCGACCATTTGCGTTACATAGCGTGCGGTGTGGCGGCTCGTCGACTCTTCACTGCAGACGCGGGTCCCCGTCGCACCAGCGGGGTGTGAATGTCGTGACGTTTCATTCGGTGGCCATGGGGCGTTGCTTGATATCCAGTCGTGATGCGTGGTTTCGTGTCTGTATGTGCACACTATTAAAGTTGGGCTCGAGATAAATATCAACAAAACAAAAGCCAAAAAAAAAACAAGTCTTGTACAAGTTTGCTAAACTGAAGAGATCTTGACAGGACACAACTGTAAATCACATCAGAGTTCATATACAAGGTTCTCTGGAAAAACCGAACCTATTAAACGAAAGCAATGTGCAGAAAGGATTCAGTTTTTACCGAGTATATTAACTGCTATAACACAGGGATCATAAACGTGGACAACGACGTGACATAGAAAATGCAACAGATGCTGACAAGTACACGAATGGTGACGACGGACAAGACGGACGGAAAGGGGAGCACGTCAGAGTCGTCGTCATCATGTCGACCGCTGAGAGGCAAGTGCGCCTGGGCGGGGGACGCGTCGCGACGAGGGAAGACGGCCGGCGGTCGAGACTGACGACGGAGGAGCAGCCAA